CGGGGGGGGCGGGGGGCGGGGGGGCATTAGCCTGGGACAAGCTGAGGAGCCGGGTCCGCGGTGTCCGCGGGGTCCGCGGTGTCCGCGGGGTCCGCCGGGTCCCGCGGGGTCCGCCGGGTCCCGCAGCGCGGCTAGGTGAGGACAGGTTTAAGTTCCTAAGCAGGAAATTCACTCCACTTGGTCCTCCTGTTGAAGATGAACTGACACGAAGCCAGGAAGGTAAAACCCAGACACAAAGCCAACAAGCGGAACTCGCGCCCTTTCTTCTCCCTGCAGCTGGATGTCAAAGCGAAGGGGACATTTTTTAAACAAGAGGGAAGACTATTTTGCAGGCCAGTGAAAGCCCAGGACCTGCCAGGCGTACTGTGCTGCCCCCTGGCTGTCACCTGGCCCCTCCTGGGCAAGGCTGTCTCAGCGAAGGGCATCGGGCATCCGTCTTCGGGAGTGGCAAGAATGGTCACTAACCTGGCTGTAGGTGTCTAACTTGATTTAGGAACCACGGAACACAGCTAGAACTTGTCTCACCTTTTGATTTCCTTGGTCGAGCTGTAAATCTCGCAGTGCTCTTTCGAGCTTCGACTTCTCGTCCAGGGCGGCTGTGGCCTGTAACGAGGTCAGACAGGACACACTCAGGGCACGCCCTAGCTAGCGCCTTCCAGAACTGCGCTAAGACTTCTCGGTACCTGGGTTTCGATGGTCTTCAGCCTTGACTTCAATTTCTCATTCTCTTCCTGAAGTCTTGAGATTTCCTTTGTAAGTAAATTTAAGTTTTATTATCTTAACTGAAATATTTTTAATATTTGAAATTGTTTTACTTAAATACTTAATTTTAAATTAAATTCAAATTCCCACAAAGCGCAAAGATCCCTGTTACTGACAACATCCCAAGGCTGCCAGCCCGCCCGCCCGCACACCTGTGAGACAGCTTTGGCTCCTCCTCCCAGCCTCTCAGACACACCTACCCTCCTCCAGCCCTGTCAGCTCTCCCCTGACTGCCCCTGCAACTCGTGGGCCTCTTCTCAGCCATGCGGCACTCTGCTGCCACTTCTCCGGAACACCACCTTGGTCACCTTAGAACCTGTGCTCAAGGCCCAAGACGTTCCGGCTAAGCTGAGGCCAAATGCCCCTTCACCAACACAGGAGTCACCCGTCAGCCCAGGCTCAGTTCTCGCTGGGCCCAGTCGGAGAGTACCACGCCCTGTCCCCCAGCTCTTCCCTCTGACACCCCCACCTGTCCCCCCCTGAAGGCCCAGCGCAGGAGCTACCTTACCCAAAACCTGCTCTCCCCGACTCTTGGCCATGGAACTGGGCCTGCTCTGCTCCCCGACGACACCCACACTCACAGGAGTCTCTCGTCTGTCCCCAGAAGATGAGCTTTACTTCTCAACAGAACTGGGACAGTTTTGAAAGCCGGACACTGCTTTTTATTTCTAGCGACATCCAGCATAATGTTGAGACTACAGCAGACCTGAAGAGATTTACTGTACACTGATCAGTAATTTCACTCAACTTAAGAGAGACTCCTTCATTGTTACCCCAGATCATAAACTTCAAATGTCCACTCATCAACACTGTCCAAAATGCCATGCTCTGTACTTTGCTATGAAAGGTGTGATCAAGGGGCCGACAGGTGGTGGTGTGTTTAACGTGGCTGACCACAGTTCGCGTCCCAGACCTACTGGCTTGCTTGCTCACTTTCTCCGTCCCTCTCTGGTCAAATTAAAGTAAGTAAATAGAGTCACATGAAATAATTATTAAAGAAAAATAAAAAGGTGTGATCAAGAACTGCTTCGGCCTCACTGGAAGCCACGTCGCCCTCCTCTGACGACTGGGCGCCCTGAAGGACGACGGCTCTGCTGGTGAACTGCCCTCGCGGAGCAAGGCTGGGGCTGCCCTCTCCCTGGTTCTCTACCCTGGGGCGGCTCAGGCCGCGGGCGCCGGACTCTGGGGTTTCTCATTTCTCACGAGGAGGGCTTTACCTTGTTCAGGAGCTCTGCTGTTCCGCTTTCATTAAGTGGCACCAGTTTGGGCTTTACGGTCTCTATGATGGGCTGAAACAAGACAAAGAAACCAAACTGAAGCCACCACAGCACAGAGCACGTGCAATCTGACGTGTGCACCTTTGGGTGGGAGACAGCGAATCTAAACACGGGACGGTGGCTCCAGGGGTGGGGGTTCTCATTCGCTTTCTAGGTCCCAGAGTCTAGACTGTTCCCAGCCTGCAGTGCCCAGTATATCTCAGAGCTAAAATAAAACCCCTTGTCTTAAAGAGAAAAACCAGATGGAGGGAAAGAAGAGAGGGTGGGGCAGGAGGGAGCTCGGTCAGACCTGACGCAGATGTAGGAGCCAAGGACGGGGGTTTAACCTGGCGGCAGAGACCGACTCTGCAAGGACTCTGGGCTCTGGAAGCTGTAGTACTGAGGGCCAGACACCAGGCTGCAGGGGAAGGGTTAACTGGACGACTGTTCTGGCAGACCTCGGTCTGTGTTAAAAACACAGGAGCTCATGCCCTCGGACCCAGAAACCCTTAGCCAGAAGTCAGTGCTGAGGGCCCGACGGGAATATGGCAGAGGTGTTGGTAAGGGGCTCGTCCCCGCTGCGCCGGGCTACCCAGCCACAGGGTGTTTATGGCGTGGCTCCAGAGTAGGGTGGGCTGCCACAGCACACGATGAGAAAGACCGGAGAGGCCAGCAACCAGGAGGACGGCCCCATCACGGAGGAGGCATGCCGGGCGCCCAGGGACCGGTCAGGTCACGCAGCTGCGGGGGTGCCTGGTCTGCTGCTTGGGCACTGCCCCATCAGGGTGAGGCACTGCCAGGGCTGGCCTCAGGCGGAGCGTGGAAGAGTCAGAGCAGGCAAACCAGCTCCTCACAGTTACTTCCAACGTTCGCTTATTTTGCCTGAAATCTCAGATGTGATTTAAAGCTTCTACTCCTGAGGGAGACCAGCAGATGGCATGACGGTTACGTCACTGGACTCCCAGAGTTGACCACAGTTTGAATCCCGGACCCAGTGGCTTAAAACTCACACTGGGCACGTGTGTGTGCCCAAAATCCTGAGAGGAGGAGGGAGTGCAGCATGGCCATCCCCTGGGGGTGATTTCTTTCTGTCTCCATCTCTCTGGTGAGCACATGTGCCCTACAGGAAAAATCTCTCTTAATTTTTTTTAACTCTCAAATTGAATGTGTTTCCTTGAGAGCTATCACTTTGACCTCAGAATACTTTGAGTGACTTAAGGATTTTAAATACTGGGTATTAAGAGAGAGACATAAGGGGGCAACAGGTGGCATGGTGGTTAAGGCGCTGGACTCCCACAGGGCTGGCCATGGTTTGAGTTCTGGACCTAGCAATTTGCTTTCTCACTCTTCCTCTTTCTCTCTGTCTCTCTGGTGAGTGCATGTGCCTTATAGCACATTAAAAAATAATAAAGAGATGAGCTTAGAATGACCAGAAATTACCTTTTTATTTGAAGACGTAAATTCTGCTTTTTCAAATTCTGCAACTTGTTCTAATAATTCTCTTAGAAATAAAAACAAATATACGAAAATTCATTTAAAGTAGATTTGCATCACACAAGAAGAAAATCACTAATCCTAACCTATTACACGGCAGAGAACAGACCATGAAGGACATACTTTGACAACACATCAAGAATGGTACTTAGTCACCGAGAGCCAAGAATCCAAACCACAGGGACTCAAATCTGAAACACCCACAGTACCTAGGGTTTCGCACCTACGAGGTAGGCGTGCATGATACACCTGCTAGAATAAACTGTGATGTCAACAGAAACGTGAGACGTGCAATGCCGGGAGGAGACCGCTCTGCTGCATCCTCACATTGCTAGCGAGGAGCCTTGAAAAAAAGGCCACCTGGGGGCCAGCAGCTGGCGTAATGGCTATGTCGCTGGACTCCCACGTAGTCCACCGCGGTTTGCGTCCCGGACCTGGTGGCTTAAAATTCACGCTGGGCGCGTGTGCGTGCGTGCCCAAGATCCCGAGAGGAGACCGGAGGAGAAGGGATTGCGGCATGGCCATCCCCCCTGGGGGGGGATTTCTGGCTTTCTGTCTGTCTCTGCCTGGCGAGCGCACGCGCCCTATAGCAAAAACCTCAAAAAAAAAAAAAATCCTTCCTTTGGGACCAGCAGTTAGCGTAATGGCTATGTCGCTGGACTCCCACGTAGTCCACCGCGGTTTGCGTCCCGGACCTGGTGGCTTAAAATTCACGCTGGGCGCGTGTGCGTGCGTGCCCAAGATCCCGAGAGGAGACCGGAGGAGAAGGGATTGCGGCATGGCCATCCCCCCTGGGGGGGGATTTCTGGCTTTCTGTCTGTCTCTGCCTGGCGAGCGCACGCGCCCTATAGCAAAAACCTCAAAAAAAAAAAAAATCCTTCCTTTGGGACCAGCAGTTAGCGTAATGGCTATGTCGCTGGACTCCCACGTAGTCCACCGCGGTTTGCGTCCCGGACCTGGTGGCTTAAAATTCACGCTGGGCGCGTGTGCGTGCGTGCCCAAGATCCCGAGAGGAGACCGGAGGAGAAGGGATTGCGGCATGGCCATCCCCCCTGGGGGGGGATTTCTGGCTTTCTGTCTGTCTCTGCCTGGCGAGCGCACGCGCCCTATAGCAAAAACCTCAAAAAAAAAAAAAATCCTTCCTTTGGGACCAGCAGTTAGCGTAATGGCTATGTCGCTGGACTCCCACGTAGTCCACCGCGGTTTGCGTCCCGGACCTGGTGGCTTAAAATTCACGCTGGGCGCGTGTGCGTGCGTGCCCAAGATCCCGAGAGGAGACCGGAGGAGAAGGGATTGCGGCATGGCCATCCCCCCTGGGGGGGGATTTCTGGCTTTCTGTCTGTCTCTGCCTGGCGAGCGCACGCGCCCTATAGCAAAAACCTCAAAAAAAAAAAAAATCCTTCCTTTGGGACCAGCAGTTAGCGTAATGGCTATGTCGCTGGACTCCCACGTAGTCCACCGCGGTTTGCGTCCCGGACCTGGTGGCTTAAAATTCACGCTGGGCGCGTGTGCGTGCGTGCCCAAGATCCCGAGAGGAGACCGGAGGAGAAGGGATTGCGGCATGGCCATCCCCCCTGGGGGGGGATTTCTGGCTTTCTGTCTGTCTCTGCCTGGCGAGCGCACGCGCCCTATAGCAAAAAACCTCTCCCCCCCCTCAAAAAAAAAGGCCACCTGCATTTTAACAGGGTAGCCATAGGAAAGCGGCTTAGTCCACAGCACCTACGGAAGGTGTATGCCCGGGAGAGACAGACAGCGTGGGGCTGCTTTGCCACCAGGGCACTGGCTTACTGGTGAACGGCAGTGGCTTCTCTCCTAAGCTGTTGTGTTTCTTTTACAATTTCTTAGTTACATTCTATCACTGTATACCTAAGCTTCTTAAAGCTCAGTGTCTCACGGTCTCCTCACCGGGGGAGATGTGAAACACCTGACCTCCCTCCCCGGCCCGCAGGCTGCCCTGAGCGCTGCTCGACGGACACACACCCCGCGCGCCTCTTCCCTGTGACTGTGCTCAGAGTTCTTCGTGGCTGGGCCGGCGTCCTTCCTGAAGGCTGGCACGCCTTTCTTAAAATGAGTTGCAACTTCACTGAAGTCACCAGAGTTTTGAAAACGAATGAGCTCTTTGATACCATTCAGATGAGAAAGTTTAAAACTATTTCCCATTTTAACGGCACGTGTATAATTTGAAATGTGATCACTCAGAAATGGACATACGATGCTACTAGTCTGAATCGATGCCGCCTACCCAACTATCCCCCGCCCCCGCCCGAGAGAAGCAGCAGCAAAGCCGGGCACCGACGTTCAAGGGGACGCCTGGCCTCTGTCACAACGGCAGACTCCACGGTGAGCCCGGGTACCTGTTCTCCAGCTCGGAGATGTCAGTCTGCAGCTTCAGGTACCACTTCTCAGCTTGCGCAAAGAGCTGCCGCAGGAGCAGCACATTGGTGTAGGCAGTGTTGATGAGCTCGGACTCCACCTCGCTGTGGACCACCGCCTGTAGGCCGCTCAGGATCTCGGCGACTTCGTCCACGGTGAAGGTCTCCTCCACCAGCCTGGAATGCGGACGCAACCCACAACCTCTGGGCGACCGATGAAGCCAATTCACAAGATAGCTACCAAGTTTACACCCCCACACTCACGTCACCCAGGGATTAACGGATACAGCACACGTTTCTCTGGGAACTACCTCTGTATTTTATTAATACAGAGGTATAGAAAATCATATAAATTCAATGTCTGATATTCTTCAAGTGGTTAAACTGTGACTAATTCTGCAAATCTGTGCATCCTTTACAGCATGCTACTTTTTAAATTTTCACTATTCTTTTTTTACTTTAATCTCCACTAAAATTGGTCTTATCACATTTAATAATTTTGGGAGTCACCTGGAAGGTGTAGTTCTTCCTCCTATTTCTCTGGCATTTTAACACCTGTGAGCTATTTCCACGATAGCAAATGCCTGTTAGCATATGGTAACTACAAGTGGCTTTTCTCGACATTGAGACACGGAAGAAAAAAGCCACATTTACTCGATCTCAGTTAAAGCACCACCAACCCCTGCACAAAGTGAACGTCATCGATAAAAACCTGCTCACATAGAGAATGTCGGGGTGAAGGAGAACCCCGAGCCACACTCTGCACCCCCTGACCTGTGCAGCCAGGAGGACAGGCCGGCAGGTGGAGGTGAGCTGCCTGCGGTCCCACTGGGAGAGACAAGCCCCCGGTCGTTCTCGGCAACTGCAGCAGCAGGCCGAGAACAGGATTCTTGCCAAAGCTTCAGCACGTGCTCCTACGGCGGATGGAGCTTCACAGAAACACGGTCCTCTCCTCTCTCCACCTCTGGCCTCCAAAGCCCAAAGTTTTGTGTATTATATTTTTATTAAAAAAAATCCTGACTAAACATGTTGTCAATCTTCTATACTCTTTAGTAGACCATACCGTGTTCTTGCTAATTGAACTGTTATTGCCATCTGCTGGGCGTTAGGAACCAGAGTCCCAGGCTGGTTTGAGGGGCCGAACAGGTAACAGCCCGAGGCTGGCAGCCTCCGGACGAGTGAAGGTGGGCTTTATGACAGCCACAGCACACTGGAGCCTCTGCCATTAGGTCGGACCCAAAATGGAGTCATCATTCACTATCGGCCAACCGCTAATTAGGTCCCAGTCGGTGAGCTTTTCATGGTTCACTTTCCCTTCTCCTAATTCTCTGACACCAACCATGGAGGTATTTTCTTGCTACCTGCCTGTCTCAGGGCTCCGATCTTTTAACTAATAACAAGTAACTGAAGTTCAGGATTTTTTTTTCTTGGAGAGATTTTTGCTATAGGGCATGGGGGGAGTTCGGGGACCTTTAGCACAGCAGGCCAGTCAGGAATGCACAGGCCCTCATGGTTTCCTGACTGCCCTTCTGAAACTGCCACCCTGTAAGTCCTCAGGTGCCATCTGATAAGAGAGCCACGGCTGCAGCCACCACCTTTCTGAGTTTCACATGCCCACGAGGCCTAGTGTAACTGCTGTCCAGCAAAAACCAGTCTGGACAGCCCCAGGCAGGCCATTCTGCCTGCCCCTGCTACAGAGGCTCCCCAGCCGGCTAGCAAGATGACCCTCGTCCCTGGGTGGTGTCCTGAGGGGCCTCTGATACCTGCTCTCCTTGAGGTCCTGGAAGCAGGAATCGACGGTTTTGAGTCTCAAGCCTCTCTTGGAGCGGGCGAAACGCATATAATTAATCACTTCATTCTGATGATGCTCATTTAGGCCCAGCTCTGCCTGAGGAGGGAAGAATTGAACTGTCAGTCTTGAAGGCCTGATAGAGCCAAGGACGAAGACTCTCTCGCAGACCGCTCGGTGCCCAGCCCCTTCTGTCCCTCCTTCCCGGCTGCAGGCTGCCCGGCTGGATGGCACTTCCCGCCCTCCCGCAGTCCCGCGGGGCTCCAGACTTCTCGGCAGGGGCCGTGAGCAGGAGAGACACAGGCTGTCTGCAAAGCCCGGGCCTTCAGATGGGGGCACGTCTGCCAAACCCTGTACCTGTGACACCGCAGAAGGTGCCCCGTCTGACCTGGAGACACACCGGTGTCCATGGGGCCAGGGAGTAGCGAGGGGTCCCCACCTCCCGGAGCAGCAGACCCCCGTGTACCGGCTGAGCAGGGATGCGGCTAGGGGAGAGGGAAATGAAGTTCCGCACCCCTTAAGCCACTGTTTTCTGGGTCTCCTTACGGCTTGACCTGGCCTTGACCTGAACCGATGGTTTCAGGAGGGGCTGGAAACTGCCACCAGCAGGTCTTTATCTTAAATCAGGCATGTTAGTGGCAAGCCCAGGAGGGTAGGGCTGGCAGCAGGGGCGTAGGGCAGGTTGGCAGGGAGCAGGGCACCGCCCCGTGAGCAGGCCGACAGCAGAATTGCCCATCAGTGTCACAAAAGCCATGTGAGCAGCCCATGAGTTTGACCAGATGGCAGGACAAGTTAGTAAGAAAGGGCAAGTGAAAAGTAAATCCAGGGAACCAGCAGTTAGCGTAATGGCTATGTTGCTGGATTCCCACGTAGTCGACCGCGGTTCGTGTCCCGGACCCGGTGGCTTAAAACTCACGCCGGGCGCGTGTGCGTGCGTGCCCAAGATCCCGAGAGGAGAATGGAGGAGAAGGGATTGCGGCGTGACCATCCCCCCTGGGGGGTGATTTCTCGCTTTCTGTCTCTATGTCTCTCTCTGTCTGTCTGGCGAACGCACGCGCCCTACAGTGAAAATCTCTCTCAAAAAAAAAAAAAAAAAGTAAATCCACTGGCCGCCCTAGTGGGCCCGCTGCAGGCCGTTGCTGAGAGGTGTAGTGGGAAGACCAAGAAAGCGACTCCGCTCCAGTCGGAAACCACGCTCTCTCGCGGTCACGTCCCTGAGGGCCAGACCTTCCCACGATTTGGAAACATATCTCACAATGTCACAAAATTTGCTAGAAACAAATAAACCACAAATAGTCTTAATCAGACTTCATGGTCTACAAAATTAAGTGCACACCCTTCACCCTTAGGGCCCCCAAACTCCGCCCTGCTTCCTAGGGTTCTGCTATGCGAACACTCTGCTCTGGCCAGACAGATCCCAGTCCTGCCACACGACTTAACCTGCCCACGTGACTCACTCCTGTCACACCGCCTAGCCTGACAGTGCCCGCCATTCTGTGAAGGGGGTGTGCTGTAGATGCTCAGCACCGGGATCTCTCGGTGGGGCGGCCCTGACCTGCAGCCTGGCTGACTTCCACAGCGTCGTTCCTCTGCCAGAGGCTGACCTCAAGCCCCAGGTGCCTGTCCCCAAGGCAGGGGTGACAACTGCACACGAGGGCGCTCGCCGGCCAGTGTCCAACCCTCCGCCAAGGCTGCGCCTGTTTCACCTACTTTTTTTTAAAATTATTTCATTTAACTTTATTGTATTTATAATTTGGCCAGAGAGAGACAGAGCTAGAGAGGGAGAGAAAGAGAGAGCGGGAAAGTGTGAAAGCAAGCCACGAGATCCAGGCCTCGAATCGCGGTCACCATGTGGGAGTCTGGGGTCCTCCACCACCACGCCACCTGCTGGCCGTTCTGCCTATGCTTATGCCACCTGCCAATACACCCTCGATGTCTCTAGTCACGTCTTCCTCCAGGAAGCAACACGTACCATCTCTGCTGCTGACCTGGCGCCGCCGCAGACCTGCTGCCCTACCTCGTGGCGTGAGCTACCTCTGTCAGTCAGGTGCTACTCCTGTATTTGTCGAAAAAGTCAGGACACATTTTGCATAGAAAAACTTAGAAGAAAATACATCATGACTTTTCTGACAACCGAGAGATTGTAAGCCCTGTGAGCACATGAATCTTTTTTCTTTTAATTTTTAAAAAGAATTTATTATCATTATTTATTTATTTATTCGGAGAGGTTTTTGCTACAGGGCACATGCCAGACAGACAGACAGAAAGCGAGAAATCACCCCCCGGGGGATGGCCATGCTGCAATCCCTTCTCCTCCATTCTCTTCTAGGGACCTTGGGCACGGACGCACACGAGCCTGGCTGGGGTCAACTACACGGGAGTCCAGCAACATAGCCGCTATGCTAATTGCTGGTCCCTAATTTATTACTATTTTTAAAAATTTGCTATAGAGCACATGAAAGAAAGAGAGAGAGAAAGTGAGAATGCAAGCTGCCAGCTCTGGGACTCGAACTATGCAACTGGCCTTGTGGAGTTCAGTGCCTCAACCACCACGCCACTTGCTGGCCCCCACCTGGATAATTTCTCACATCACCACAAGCCGTCCATGATGCCTTGTGGAAATCAGGGGGCCAATTCATTGTTTAAAACTTTCTCTCCTGTCAAGGAGACTTAAGATTGTCTTAGGACCAAGAAGGAAAAATTACTCAAACGGAGAAGGACAAACTTCAGGAGTAAGGGCAGAAGAGCTCCTCTGCAATGGCTGGGAATGAAGAAGGAGCTGACTGAACAGGGAAAATATGCTGGGTCTTAGAAAATGGCTATAATAAAAAAATCATGCACGGATTTCCAATTTTTTTTTGTAGTCAAATAGACCGATACTTTGATTCCATTTTCCCATGAATTTTCTGAAGGGCCCTGTAGCATCAGACCACGAAATGGCTAGTGTCTCAAACCTTGGCTTCCAACATAGACTAGATGTACACAGGTCAGATGATCAAAGAAGGCAACCCGGCAGGCGTGTGGGGCAGGCGTGTGGGGCAGGCCTGTGGTACATCCCGTGCTGAGGGGAAAGCCAGGTTGAAGTCTAGCCGTGTAACCGTCTACCTGAGACTGTTACAAATCACTTCACCTCTCTGATACCCGATCAGCTCTAGAATGTTAGAAGTTATGGGAGTTATCCAGGTGGGGAAATCAGAATGTTTGCATTTTGTTGCAAAACTACGGCACTAATAAAAATCCAGCTGCAGACATAAATCCCCCAGAGCATTGCCAAGCCAGTGTCTTGACACTGTGCCATGAAGGGCATGGGGGGGGACGGGGGACGGGGGGTTCAGGTCGCTGAAATGGTGCTGTTCTTGACCATGCCCACAAAGCTATATATCAACACAGATTTACCGTGCAGGTATAAGGAAGAAACTATAATGATAAAAACAAATAGTCTAGTAAATGCTATCATATACTGGGTGCTTAGTATTTTCGTGGGTACTACACTATTTATTTCACGTGTATTATCTCATTTACCATTTTAACAACCCTAGTGCTATTATGGTTGAACCATGGTTCAAGTCCTGGACCTGGCAGCTTACCCCTCCCCCCTCTGGTGAGTGTGAGTGTCCTATAGCAAGTTAAAAATAATAATGATACATAAAATTAAACACTTTTTATAAATAAGTAAATGGCATAAATAGAACAGGAACAGAAATCCATTTTTTTGTGACATCGCCATCATCAGTTAACTCCTTTTCATATTTTAGGGAAATCCGGAGAATGGGCGGAAACGTTCTGTGCTCAAGAACACCTGTCTTGTTCCCAGCTGTGTTCTCAGCTCCCGGCCAGTGCTCGGCGCGCGTGGCTGAGTAGGAATTCTGGCCCAGGCGTCCATTTCGCCCCGGTTCCCCCCTCTCTCTGTGGGCATGATGCCACATCTGCGAGAAGGATGTCAGAGCAAACAAAGACCACCCGTTTCCTCCGCTGTGAAACGAGGCGCCTGCATTCTTACAGTCGCGGGGTCGGGTTCGCTCTCCCTCCTTGCTCCTTAACACGCCGCGTGGCGCTGCAAGAGGTGAGAGTCTGTCCGCGAGCGCGCGGGCTCGGAGCTCCCGGGATGGGCGACCGTCGCCTGCGCCTTGGGCTCGCGCTTCCCTCCGCTCGCTTCGTGCGCCACCTGCGAGCCGTGACGCGGCGGGGCGAGGGCTTCCCCGGGAGCATCTCGGAGGGGCTGGGGCCGAGGCTAACGGCAGGCACCTGCGGCCCGGCGCGGCCTCCCTCCTTCCTCCGGGGCCGG